AGCTCTGCTGGCCCTTGAGCAGTCATTTGCCCCGTCACTTAGTTTCAGCGTCTGTAAAAGGGGAGACATCTGAGACCCTGGAGCATGGGCCAGATCAACTACTGGTTAGGAACCTATTTCCATAGCCCAAGGAGCCAGCCCTGCCCGAGTACCAGGGCACAGCGTTGGGATAGGCCTCCCTCCACTCCCTTACCTCCAGAACCCGCCTCAATCTTGCCCTTGGGCTTTTACCCACCTCCAGTTCCCGGACACACTCAGGAGATCTCAAGAGAGTAGCAGAAAGGAGTACCTTTACTCCGTCAGAACCTCTCTCTTAGATGCCAGGCCCAGAAAAGTCAGATCAAGAGCTATCCTACGGCCTTTCAATGCCGACAACCTTCAGCTCTGACGTTACTGTATTCGGCCTTTTAAACGAACCGCCGCAGAAAGCCCAATCCGAGTCCTTCTTCCCACGGCGACACTCGTTGTCCAATCAACGCAAGTTATCTATAGCCAGGGTTAAGCCTTCCGGTTTGTCGCCTGGTACGTAGATTGAAAAAGGCCCGGATGTTGACGTCGGAGAGGCGCCATCCTAGTTAAGGGCAAGCCTGTGGGCCCTTCTGGCCTTTTTCTGAGGCCGGGCGGAAACAGCCAACAGCATTTCCACATTTCCCAGAAGCCTCTCTGCGAAGCACAGGAGAGTTTCCCGTGGTGCCGCCCCCGGTCCCGTTGAAGGTGGCAGATTTGCCCTGGGAGGCCGGGATCCAGCGGACGAGGGAAATCAACCGAGGGTCCGGGAGGTTCGGCGGGTGTGGCGGGGTACTTCTCCCGGTAGGAGTTGGGGTGTCTTGCGGCCTGCGCAGAGGGCCGTGAACCTGGACATGATGCTGGAGACTTACAGCCTCCTGGCCGCGCTCCTTGCGGCCCCGGCAACCCAGCGAGGACGCAGTGCTTTGTGGGAGAGGAGGACTGATGGTGCCCAGAGGCCAGTGGGTTGGAAGTGTGGGGCACTGGTCAAGCGTCCTCAGCTCTCCTCTCGGGTTCTCAGCGGAGCCCGGAAGTGAAGTGAAAGTCGCTCAGTCGTGTCCAACTCTGCGACCCCATAGACAACTATACAGGCCATGGAATTATCCAGGCCAGAATACTGGAGTGCGTTGGGTAGCCGTTTCCTTCTCCAGGGGATCTTCCCAACCCAGGGATTGAATCCACATCTCCCGGATTGCAGGCAGATTCTTTACCAGCTGAGCCACAGGGACGCTTTTAGGAGGTAGTTAAGACCCAACACCTGCTTCTACCCCTTGATGGAAGGGGAGGTGACGGCTCAGGAGACAGATCTCAGCTGCTGTTAGCAGAGACGAGAGAAAGATAAATGCCTCGCCTACTCCGATCCCTTGCACACATTCCCTTGTCCAGAGTCCCTCCGTGTCTCCCTGAACCTCATCTCCAGAAAGCTTCCTTTCTCACTGCACAGTGGCCAAAGTGAGTGAAAGTCCTGTCATGTCCGACTCTTTGCAACCCTATAGACCGTGTCCATTGAATTCTCTAGGCCAGAATACTGGAATGGGTAGCCTTTCCCTTCTCTAGGGGATCTTCCCAACCCAGGGATTGAACTCAGGTCTCCCAAGTTGCAGGCGGAGTCTTTACCCCTGAGCCACAAGGGAAGTCCAAGAATACTGGAGTGGGTAGCCTAGCTCTTCTCCAGGGGATCTTCCCGACCGAGGAATCGAACCGCGGTCTCCTGCATTGCAGGCGGATTCTTTACCAACTGAGCTATCAGGGAAGCCCTAATGTCACGGAAGCTATCAGGGAAGTACAATGGCCCAACACAACACCTAAACTGGGACTAGCAGCACTCTTGGGATCGTGTTGCAGCCATCTCTTAGGAGGGCACCTAGTGTTCAGCCTGAAGGCTGCACGCATTTCCTTTTTTTGTTTAACTTTCTACTTTGTAGTGGCTCAGGTGGTAAAGAATCTGCCTGCAACGCAGGAGACCTGGGTTCGATCCCTGCGTCAAGAAGATGCTTGGAAAAAAAAAAAAGATGCCTGGAGAAGGGAATGGCTACTCACTCCAGTATTAATGCCTGGAGAATTCCATGGACTGAGGAGCCTGGCGGGCTACAGTCCAAGGGGTCACAAAGAGTGGGACACAATTGAGAGACTAACACTTTCAGTTTCATAGCATATTAACAATGTTGTGATATTTTCAGATGGACAGTAAAGGGACTGTACATGTACATGTATCCGTGAATGCCTGCTAAGTCGCTTCAGTCCTGTCTGATTCTTTGCGACCCTATGGACCATAGCCCCACCCCCAGGTTCCTCTGTCCAAGGGATTCTCAATGAATTGGGTTTCCATGCCCTCTTCCAGGGAATCGAACCAGTGTCTCTTACACCTCCTGCACTGGCAGGCAGGGTTCTTTACCACTAGCGCCACCTGGGAAGCCCCTAAGTGTATCCATTCTCCTCCAAACTTCCCTCCTGTCTAGGCAGCCACATAACCTGGAGGAGAGTTCCCTGTGCTACACAGTAGGTCTATCTTGGTTATCCATTTTAAATACAGCAGTTGAATCCATTTTCTGAGGCTCCTGCTCACACTTGGAAACTAATTCACCTAACCTGGCTTTTCTTTCTGGATTATTTCCTCAGAGTGTTCTGCTTTCTGAACTGCAGCTGGAAATATGCTGGGGATTTTTTTTTTTTAAGGAGGAGTATATTACTTGTGATTAGAGTTGAAATCATGGCATAGTTATCTTCCATCTTTATTTTTACTGTACTGTTTGTATGTGTCAACAGTGGAGAGGTCTTTCTGACCCATTGAGATCTGCTAGCCCTACTTTAGAACAGTAAACTCTTAAAAGAATAAACACAAGGTTGGTGGGACTAAGTATGTCTGCATGTAAGGAGTGGTGCTGGAGGCTCAAATATTGGTATCTCTTGACCAAAGACTTCTCTGAATATGTTTTCCAAAAATATTAATGGGAACTGAGGGTTACTTTTACTTTGCCACATAGCCTCTTCTGAATTGGTAGACCTGGATTCCAATTTCAACTCAGTCCCCACTAGCTGTGTAGCCGTAAGCATCTATTTTTTAAACAATTTATTTATTCTTGGCTGAGCTGGGTCTTCATTGCTACACGTGGGCTTTCTCTAGTTGCGGAGAGCAGGGGCTACTCTCTAGTTGCAGTGGGAGGCTTCTCATTGCTGTGGCTCCTTTTGTTGAGGAGCATGGATTCTAGGGCGTGAGGGCTTCAGTAGCTGCAGCACATGGACTCAGTAGTTGTGGCTTGAGGGCTTCATTGCTCCACAGCTTGTGGAATCCTCTCAGACCAGGGATCAAACCACTTTCCCCTGCACTGGTAGGCGTGGATTCTTAACCACATCCAGGGACATCCTGCCTTAAGGAGATTACTCAACATTTCTGAGCCTTAGTTGTCTCACTTGCCAAGTAAGACCAATGTCAACTTCACAGAGTTGTCAGAGATAAAATGTGAAAGCATCTAGGCATATCTTTATGATTTGAAGAATGAATAGCAGCAGAGCTGCCTCCTCAACATTTTAATGTGAAATTTTTTCAACATTTCTAGAGTTTAAAGAATTTATAGTGAGACTTCTCTGGTGGTCCAGTGATTAAGGATCCACTTTGCCATCCAGGGAACTCCCAGTTGATCCCTGGTTGAGGATGTAAGATCCCACATAGCCACAGAGCAACTAAGCCAGAGCGCTGCAACTACTGAGCCCAGGCGCCACAGCTAGAGAGGCTCTGCGCCTCAAAGAAAGATCCTGAATGACGCAATGAAGATCTCGCATGCCACAACCAAGACTCAACACAGACAAATAAATGAAGAATTTTATGTTAAACACTCATATGTTCATCATGGTGTGGTTGCGCCAATGACACAGGCAGGATCTTAGTCTCCCAACCAGGGATCCAACCTGGGTCCCCTTGCATTAGGAGCAGCGAGTCTTAACCACTGGACCACCAGGGAAGTCACTCTATTAATTTTTAAAAGCCACGCACGTTAATTATTTTGGAAAAACTTAAACCGAAATTTAGGGTGGGAGGGCGCTCAAGAGGGAGACTATATATATATATATTTATGGTTGAAACCAACACATTATAAAGCAATTTTACACACACACACACACACACACACACAATTTAAAACTTCCTAATTCCAGCTTCACCAAGCACCTTCCTACGACGATTCCAGTCCAGAGATTAAGAGAGCCGAGCCGCAGGTGCAAGGGGTCTGGTGGGCCCCGCGGCGGGGGAAAGAGAGTAAACCTGTACGTGGTCTCTACCTCGGCGACCCCCAGGGTTAGGACAGGTGTGTGCGTCTTTCCGCTGCAGCCAGGACCCGCTTCAGGATCCGCGGCCGGGTAGTGTGGAGCGGGGCCGTTGGGGACACAGTCCAGGGCTCCACAAACACCGAGGTCCTGGGTGGGTTCCACAGCCGGCTCACCGAAACTTCCGGGCGAAAACGCCCCCACAACCCCTGTCTCGCGGCGCAGCCGCTTCCTGCTGTCGCGGCCAATCACCCGCCGCCGTGAGACGCGGGCAGGGAGAGTGCTGGAAGGCCCGGGGATTTCCATCTTTCTTGAAGGCAAGAAAACTACCCTTTGCCTTCCAGTCCCTTAAAAGCCCACCTGCACAGCCATTGTATTTAAGGGAAAGTGGACGATGAGAAGCCACACGGGCGCCATGTTTGATACGGTCAAAGGACGCCGCCCTTAAGGGCAGACAGAATTGAAGCCACGGTGTCGCCATATTTTCTGGAGGCACCTTCCGGGTCCCTTAACTCTGGTGTCTGTCCAAGCTGCCATGAAGTGAATAAACACCGAGGAGGTCTATTTGTCCCCATCAGAATCCCGAATCCCAGCCCTGCTACTTCGGTTCCCTTGGCTGCGTACGGAAGCCGAGGCTGGGCGGGGCCTCCGGCTCGGGAGCCCTTCTTGTGGACGACGAGAGCTGAGGCCGGGCGCGGGGGCCAGGCGGCCGCTTCTCGGGGCTGGGAGGCCCCATGGCGCCGCCCCCGGCCCCACTCCTGGTGCTGAGACCGGGGGAGACCGGGCCCGGTTGCAAGAAGCCCTTGGCCGTGAGGTTCGCGGACGTGGCCGTGTACTTCTCCCCGGAGGAGTGGGGGTGTCTGCTGCCCGCGCAGAGAGCCCTGTACCGGGACGTGATGCGGGAGACCTACGGCCACCTGGGCGCGCTCGGTGAGGCCCCGGGTCAGAGCCCCCCTCCTGCTTCATTGGGATTCAAAGGGGAGATCAAATAAGGACCCAGAGGATTGTAAGCCGTAATCCCGCCCTCTCCCACCAACAGCACCAGCCACCTCCCATCCCTAGTGCTTCAGGTACCCCCTCGGGAGTCCTTTCACCCCGCATCCGCTTCCTTCTGGAAGGAGCACTGCAGACCCAGTCCAGATTGAGCCTAAACTTGGAGGAGATGCCCTCACCCTGACGCGGGGGGCGCCGTCTTCCCAGGGCAGCCTCTCAGGCCAGCATCGTGATCCCTGTTCTCTCCCAGGATTCCCAGGCCCCAAACCAGCCCTCATCTCTTGGATGGAACAGGAGAGTGAGGCTTGGAGCCCCGCCGCCCAGGATCCTGAGGAGGGGGAAAGCCTGGGAGGAGCTCTGAGAGGTGAGGGATGGTCCCAGGTCTTCCCTGCCTGGCGTTCCAGAGCTTCCCATCTAGCAGTGTTTCCTGTCAGATCCCCACCTCCGGCACCCCTAAAGGAATGAAAGAGCCAACCGATGTTGGATACTAGCTAAGGGAAAAAGGCAGACCTGATACAAAGTTTTCAGAACTTGGGACAACTTGAGACCAGAATAAGAATCAGTAGCCCAGACTCCCTCTCCTAGAAACGCTGCTCATTCTCTCATTTTCAGGAACAACTAAAACTCCGTAAGAGGTAAAGAACCTGCCTACCAATGCAGGAGACATAAGAGATAGGGGTTGGATCCCTGGGTGGGGAAGATACTTTGGAGGAGGAAATGGCCACCCACTCCAGTATTCTTGCCTGGAGAATCCCATGGACAGAGGAGCCTGGTGGGCTACAGACCATGGGGTCTCAGAGTTGGACACAACCGAAGCAACTTAGCATACAAGAATGAAAAAAAAAAAAATAATAATGAAAACAGCTTCAGGTCTGCCTTTTACATTTCTCAAGCAAGGCAAAGTGGTACAAGAGAAAATACCCATTAGTTGACAGCTTGGCTCTTCACTCCCCACTGGCCCTCACCAGAATGCTCACCAGCAAATGTCTTTCCTCCTCTGTAAATGTCTTAACCCTACCAAAAAAAAATTTGAGAAACCATAAAAATAATAGCCACTGATGGGGACACAGTCCAGGGCTCCACAAACACCGAGGTCCTGGGTGGGTTCCACAGCCGGCTCACCGAAACTTCCGGGCGAAAACGCCCCCACAACCCCTGTCTCGCGGCGCAGCCGCTTCCTGCTGTCGCGGCCAATCACCCGCCGCCGTGAGACGCGGGCAGGGAGAGTGCTGGAAGGCCCGGGGATTTCCATCTTTCTTGAAGGCAAGAAAACTACCCTTTGCCTTCCAGTCCCTTAAAAGCCCACCTGCACAGCCATTGTATTTAAGGGAAAGTGGACGATGAGAAGCCACACGGGCGCCATGTTTGATACGGTCAAAGGACGCCGCCCTTAAGGGCAGACAGAATTGAAGCCACGGTGTCGCCATATTTTCTGGAGGCACCTTCCGGGTCCCTTAACTCTGGTGTCTGTCCAAGCTGCCATGAAGTGAATAAACACCGAGGAGGTCTATTTGTCCCCATCAGAATCCCGAATCCCAGCCCTGCTACTTCGGTTCCCTTGGCTGCGTACGGAAGCCGAGGCTGGGCGGGGCCTCCGGCTCGGGAGCCCTTCTTGTGGACGACGAGAGCTGAGGCCGGGCGCGGGGGCCAGGCGGCCGCTTCTCGGGGCTGGGAGGCCCCATGGCGCCGCCCCCGGCCCCACTCCTGGTGCTGAGACCGGGGGAGACCGGGCCCGGTTGCAAGAAGCCCTTGGCCGTGAGGTTCGCGGACGTGGCCGTGTACTTCTCCCCGGAGGAGTGGGGGTGTCTGCTGCCCGCGCAGAGAGCCCTGTACCGGGACGTGATGCGGGAGACCTACGGCCACCTGGGCGCGCTCGGTGAGGCCCCGGGTCAGAGCCCCCCTCCTGCTTCATTGGGATTCAAAGGGGAGATCAAATAAGGACCCAGAGGATTGTAAGCCGTAATCCCGCCCTCTCCCACCAACAGCACCAGCCACCTCCCATCCCTAGTGCTTCAGGTACCCCCTCGGGAGTCCTTTCACCCCGCATCCGCTTCCTTCTGGAAGGAGCACTGCAGACCCAGTCCAGATTGAGCCTAAACTTGGAGGAGATGCCCTCACCCTGACGCGGGGGGCGCCGTCTTCCCAGGGCAGCCTCTCAGGCCAGCACCGTGATCCCTGTTCTCTCCCAGGATTCCCAGGCCCCAAACCAGCCCTCATCTCTTGGATGGAACAGGAGAGTGAGGCTTGGAGCCCCGCCGCCCAGGATCCTGAGGAGGGGGAAAGCCTGGGAGGAGCTCTGAGAGGTGAGGGATGGTCCCAGGTCTTCCCTGCCTGGCGTTCCAGAGCTTCCCATCTAGCAGTGTTTCCTGTCAGATCCCCACCTCCGGCACCCCTAAAGGAATGAAAGAGCCAACCGATGTTGGATACTAGCTAAGGGAAAAAGGCAGACCTGATACAAAGTTTTCAGAACTTGGGACAACTTGAGACCAGAATAAGAATCAGTAGCCCAGACTCCCTCTCCTAGAAACGCTGCTCATTCTCTCATTTTCAGGAACAACTAAAACTCCGTAAGAGGTAAAGAACCTGCCTACCAATGCAGGAGACATAAGAGATAGGGGTTGGATCCCTGGGTGGGGAAGATACTTTGGAGGAGGAAATGGCCACCCACTCCAGTATTCTTGCCTGGAGAATCCCATGGACAGAGGAGCCTGGTGGGCTACAGACCATGGGGTCTCAGAGTTGGACACAACCGAAGCAACTTAGCATACAAGAATGAAAAAAAAAAAAATAATAATGAAAACAGCTTCAGGTCTGCCTTTTACATTTCTCAAGCAAGGCAAAGTGGTACAAGAGAAAATACCCATTAGTTGACAGCTTGGCTCTTCACTCCCCACTGGCCCTCACCAGAATGCTCACCAGCAAATGTCTTTCCTCCTCTGTAAATGTCTTAACCCTACCAAAAAAAAATTTGAGAAACCATAAAAATAATAGCCACTGATTATTAAGCATTTACTAAGTGATGCTTCTACTCATTTAATCCTCCCAACAACCCTGTGAAGTAAAGAAAGCATTATGATTCCCATTTGACACATGAGGAACCAAGGCCCACCTAAGAGATTTGAACCCTGCTTATGGTTTTTCAAAGCCTGTGTGTTATTCACGGGTAGTACCTTTTTGACACTTCCCTGAGGAAAAGCATCCTATAACCTGAGACAATAAAAGCAAATGTGTTTTAAAAAGGAACTTGATTCCTGTTTCCTAGGAGCTACCCCCAACAAAAGGGAAGAGGAATCTGAAGCAGGACTAGGAGCCCAAGCACCGAAAAAGGCTCCTGGGAAGGAGAAGCCTGAGGAGCTGGTTAAACACAACCCTGGCACGACCGTCAGCAAAACCTCAGCCAGAGCACAGCCACCCAAACAAGCTGCCTGGGACCAGGGTGCGGGTCCTCAGCCCCCGGCCCCCCTACCGAGTGCGGATGCGCAGGCCAGCCAGCGGCGCCACGTGTGTGCAGACTGCGGCCGCCGCTTCACCTACCCCTCGCTGCTGGTCAGCCACCGGCGCATGCACTCGGGTGAGCGGCCGTTCCCCTGCCCTGAGTGTGGCATGCGCTTCAAGAGGAAGTTCGCCGTGGAAGCCCACCAGTGGATCCACCGCTCCTGCTCTGGGGGGCGGCGGGGCCGGAGGCCCGGGATCCGGGCTGTGCCTCGGGCCCCAGTCCGAGGTGACCGGGACCCTCCGGTGCTATTCCGGCACTACCCAGACATCTTCGAGGAGTGCGGGTGAGCGGCTTCCGCTGGCAGGGTTTGAGCCTGACCTCGGCGCTGAGGACTCACTGGGTCCCGAGGGAGGCTCCTGAGTCAGGGCTTTGGGACCCACAGTTCATCCCTTGGACTTTCCTCAAGGATCCCTCAACTTTCCAAGCTTGTAAAAAGAGAAGTGCCTGTAAAGATTCAAATAGATTAAACTCGACACTCCTCTCCCCCGATCTTTCTAAAAAAAAGAAAATGAAGAGAGTGAGATGCTGGACTTTTCTCAAAGTGTTATCTCAGTGGCAGGTGCGACTAAGATCAAAACTGTCTACAGAAATCCCCCCTACTCATCTGCAGCAGAGGTAAATGCCGAGGGGGACTACGGCTGAGGAGGAGGTCTCAGTTGGAGGGCCTGGTCAAGCCCTAGGTAACTGAACCAATAGGAGGCCCAGGCGGTGAAGTGGGTGGAAAATGTACAGAAGCACCAGATGCAGACCTCATCTCTGTAGCTTGCTCTCTAGGCACAGCTGGTTAGTCACCCACCCTCCCTGAGCCTCAGCTCCCTCATCTGTAAAATGAGGATCAGTAATATCTACCTCAAAGGGTTACTGTGAAGACTGACATTGTAACAAGATAATATGTGTGGCAGAGTAAATGTGCAATAAACATTTGTTGAAAGAGTGAAAATGACTATTGCTATTTCCCACTTCAGATCATGAAAAGAAGTCTGCTAAGGAGGCAGGGATGGGTATCAATAGCTGTGTTTCCAGATGAGTCAACTGGGGCTCCAAGTTTCACTGCTACAAGGCAGCAAAGCCGGAAACTGGCACTGCCCACATATTCCTACCACTTCCTATGAGCAGTCAGATCTGGGCAGAACATAGATCAGGGGCTCAGGTAAGAGTGAAGTGAGGGAGCCAGCCTTGCCTGTCGGGCAGCCTCAGCAGGAAAGTGAGAGCCCCGCCATGGCCAGAGACCTTTCACTGAGAAAGGGTAGTCAAGGGACTTCCCTGGTGGTCCAGTGGTTAAGACTTTGCCTTCCAATGCAGGGTACTCAGGTTCAGTTCCTGGTGGGGGAACTAAAATCCCAGGTGCCTTGTAGCCAAAAATCCAAAACATAAAACAGAAGCAATATTGTAACAAATTCAATAAAGACTAAAATTGATCTAAATAAAGAAGAAAGTCTTAAAAGAGAAAAAAAGTCAACATTCAGTGACCATATTGAATGACTTTTGTTGGAGACACTGCCAGGTGATAAAGGAATCCCATGATGAGGAAGACTAATTTCCCTCATTCAGCAACCATCTGAAGCCTCTGTGGGATTTTGTGCAGGGCTCCAGGGACACAATGACTCAGGTCCAACATTCAAAAGATTGATTGGGGCTCTAATGGAGGAGTCCAGAGGCACCACCATCCTGGTTGGTGATATGCCAGGAAATGCAACTTGGAAGAAAAGGAGTGGTTGTGCTTCCCATAGCATTATGTAAGAAATGGTTGTAGTGAGATTTTTCAGGCAGAGGAAGTAGCAATGGAGGCCTATTTCCTAGAAAGGATAAAAGATGGACACAGTGTGGAGTGGAGCTTAGAAGCATGGGCCCTGGAGTCAGACTGTCTGCCTTCAGATCCTGACTCAGCTGCTTTATAACTGTGAACTTGGGCAAGTCACTTCTTGCTCCAAGTCACCTCTCTATGCCTTACTTTCTTCATCTATAAAACCTGAATAATAATAGCATCTACCTCATAAGACTGATGCAATGATTAAATAATACAGGATGATGCCTTGTACATTAGAGTTTAACAAACATTGGTTATTGTTGTTATTCAGTTCAGTTCAGTTCAGTCACTCAGTCGTGTCCAACTCTTTGCAACCTCATGAATCGCAGCACGCCAGGCCTCCCTGTCCATCACCAACTCCCGGAGTTTACTCAAACTTATGTCCATCGAGTCGGTGATGCCATCCAGCCATCTCATCCTGTCATCCCCTTCTCCTCCTGCCCCCAATCCCTCCCAGCATCAGAGTCTTTTCCAATGAGTCAACTCTTCGAATGAGGTGGCCAAGTATTAGAGTTTCAGCTTCAGCATCAGTCCTTCCAATGAACACCCAGGACTGATCTCCTTTAGGATGGACTGGTTGGATCTCCTTGCCATCCAACGGACTCTCAAGAGTCTTCTCCAACACCACAGTTCAAAAGCATCAATTTTTCGGTGCTCAGCTTTCTTCACAGTCCAACTCTCACATCCATACATGACCACTGGAAAAACCATAGCCTTGACCAGATGGACCTTTGTTGGGCAAAGTAATGTCTCTGCTTTTTAATATGCTACCTAGGTGGGTCATATCTTTCCTTCCAAGGAGTAAGCATCTTTTAATTTCATGGCTGCAATCACCATCTACTGTGATTTCAGAGCCCCAAAATATAAAGTTTGACACTGTTTCCACTGTTTCCCCATCTATCTCCCATGAAGTGATGGGACCAGATGCCATGATCTTAGTTTTCTGAATGTTGAGCTTTAAGCCAACTTTTTCACTCTCCTCTTTCACTTTCATCAAGAGGCTTTTTAGTTCCTCTTCACTTTCTGCCATAAGGGTGGTGTCATCTGCATATCTGAGGTTATTGATATTTCTCCCGGCAATCTTGATTCCAGCTTGTGCTTCTTCCAGCCCAGCGTTTCTCATGATGTACTCTGCATATAAGTTAAATAAGCAGGGTGACAATATACAGCCTTGACGTACTCCTTTTCCTATTTGGAACCAGTCTGTTGTTCCATGTCCAGTTCTAACTGTTGCTTCCTGACCTGCATACAGGTTTCTCAAGAGGCAGGTCATTGTTATTCAAACACAACACAGAATAGTATGTGAGCAGGACCATGTCTCCAAGCAAGTCTTCTGGATCAAGGAAGTCTTCCTAGAGGAGGTATTTCCAACTGTCCTTGAAGGATGAGAAAGATTTCAACCAGGATGGGCATGTATAGGGAATGAGCAGCAGCTCCACTTGATTGAAGCATAAAGACTGAAAGTAAAGAATAATGGATACCAGATGCAATCAAGAAGTGGGACCTATCTGGGAGGATCACAGATCCTAGTGGGGGATCTTGAGGTTCACCCTGTAGGCACTGAGGAGCCATAGAAAGTCCCTGAGTAGGAGCAGAGCTCCTGCTGTCAGAAACAGTCAGAAAATGTCTTTGTCTGGACTTCCCTGGTGGTCCACTGGTTAAGACGCCAACTTTCCAATGCAGGGGCTGAGGGACTGATCCCTAGTTAGGGAACTAAGATCCCATATGCCCTGTGGCACAGCCAAATTTACATATATACATACATATACATATATATATATGTCTTTGTCAAACAGTGTGGAGTGTGACCCATGAGAGGAGCCTGGGCATGAGACATGAGAAATCTGCTGGGCATCTGCTCCCAGGTAGAAGCAGTTAGTAGTGGGACCAAGCTAGAAAGCAAGACTTTTTTTTTTTTTTTTTTTTGTAGTTGCCCTCGTCTGCTGACCTTGGAAATGGAAAGAAAGGTATTCCTGAGAGATTTCTGTCATAGAACCTAAATGCTTCAGTGAACTGACCAACATGATCTGTGAACAAGTAAGTCCCAGAGGTTTCAAGCGTGGAGAGCTGCAACAAGGGAGCCCAAGCACCGGGGGAGGGTGTGAAGGTCCAGGGGTGACCATGATGGGGTGAGTCATGGGGGGCAGGGGGAGAACTGAAAAGAGGAGGAGCCACCAAAAAGGAGGGGGCAGAACCAGGCATAATGTGTCGAGCAGAACTGCCCAGGTCAGCACTTGGCACAGAGCAAGTGCTGTCTACTCTTTCTCGTTTATCCAGTTAACACACATCTACTAGGCATTTAACATGTACCATAACTCCCAAGCACTCAAACGACATACTCATTTCCCATGACTTGACCCCTAAACATAACCCTATTATGTACTTTTGGTACAGAATCCACCTGCAATGCAGGAAACCCTGGTTTGATTCCTGGGTCAGGAAGATCCCTGGAGAAGGGCTAGGCTACCCACTCCAGTATTCCTGGACTTCTCTTGTGGCTCAGCTGGTAAAGAATCTGCCTTTGATGAGGGAGACCTGGGTTCGATCCCTGGGTTGGGGAGATCCCCTGAAGGAGGAAATGGCAACCCACTCCAATATTCTGGCCTGGAGAATTCCATGGACTACACAGTCCACGAGGTTGAAAACAGTCAGACACAACTGAGCAACTTTCACTTTTTCTATTACGTACTTTTAATATTTAGGGTCCGTGTTGATGTTTGACAGAAAACCACAAAATTCTGTAAAGCAATTATCCTTCAATTAAAAAATAAATTAATTTTAAAAATATTTCAGTTCAATTCAGTCACTCAGTCGTGTCTGACTCTTTTGTAGCACACCAGGCTTCCCTGTCTGTCACCAACTCCTGGAGTTTATTCAAACTCATGTCCATGGAGTCAGTGATGCCATCCAACCATCTCATCCTCTGTTGGCCCCTTCTCCTCCTGCCTTCAATCTTTCCCAGCATCAGAGTCTTTTCCAATGAGTCAGTTC